ATTGTTAGCACGTCAGCAATGATTCAAGATTATTGCTGTAAAAGTATTCATTTAATTACCTGTTTCTTTCAGTTATGGTTAAACTGTTTATAATTTCACGAATTTAATAAACGGAACCATTCAATTCACCTACCACCAAATGCTAAAGTCTGTTCTAGTTTGCTTTTTATTTAACATTCTTGAGTTAATTAGAATAAATCCACGCTTCTCCAATATGCCTGGATTTTTTTATTTTTCATAAGCTAGTCGAGGCAATATCCAATTATTCTCGCTAATTTTTAAACTGTTTGGAAAGAAATTCTCGAATTCAATGACCGCCAATGCTCAGTGGACTATCAGCCAGTCTAAGGTCACACAACTTAAAGCAGTATGTGGCCAGTATTAAATCCAGCCTTTGCTCACGCTACTTAGCGGTCTCATTCATGAATGGCAGACGATAAGATAAGACGCTCACGTTCTTCAGAACCTGTGATCACACGGCTCAATAGATCCATTGATAAGACGCTTATGAAGTGAAGCCAGCCAATTGTCATGTTCAGCGGGGTCATTGGCAGTCAAAAGACAGTCTAGCAATAAAGTCACTTTATGCTCACACTTCTCAGGAGGATCTTGACTCATAGCAGACGATATGGAGTTTCACACCTTACTTAATAGCTTATCATGGACCTCAGGATCTAAAGAATTTGAATAATTTTCCTACACTTCTTAGATATTCTTTTTCCTCCCCTTAATTTGATTCCGTTAATATGTAATACTCAACATAGTAATTGTAAAATTCTGTTGAAGCGTGCGTTTGTTTAAAAACGTAATGTATGGTTTCTTTCGTTTTTGTATATTGTCTATTATGTTAGTAATTACGTGTTTGCGGTGTGCCAATATTATTTATGGCAGTAATGAGTGAATCAAAATAGCTTCCAACTAGAGTGCACTCTTTGTCAGAACAAATATTTTTTATTTCTATTTTACTAGATTGTTATGTCACAATTAACGTTCAAATTTGTAATTGCAATATGTAAATTGCTTTCTTTTATTATTTTCAAGCATTCAAATCAATCAGAAATGACATAAATATGCTGACATAAAATGTGTTAAGTATGTTCAACAGTAGGAGGCTGCCACTCGAGAACCTTTCTTCCCCAACGGTTATCGGTTCTACGAGCTATATGGCCGGCCTATCACCACTTCAGCTTGCTAATCCTCTGAGCTATATCGGTTATCTTAGTTCTACTGCGGATGTCTTCGTTACGAACTCTATCACGCAGAGAAATACCGAGCATAGCCCATAGCTCGCTGAGCGACTTTGAGCTTCCTCATACGGCCAGCAGTGAAGGACCACGTCTCGGTTCCGTAGGTCATCACTGGCAACACACATTGATTGAAGACTTTAGTCTTCAAACATTGAGGTATATTCGACGAGAAGATTTGCTGAAGTTTCCCGAACGCTGCCCATCCGAGTTGGATTCGCCGATTGACCTCTGCGTCGAAGTTGGACTTACCTAGCCGGACTAACTGTCCTAGGTAAACGTACTCGTCATGTGGGACGACCCCCCACTAGATGGAGTGACGACCTGTGCAAATGTGCGGGAAGTCGATGGATGCAGGTGGCTCAGGATCGTACTTCATGGCAGTCTGTGGGGGAGGCCTATGTTCAGCAGTGGACTCAAACAGGCAGAAATGATGATGATGATGATGAATGTTCAACAAGTCGGATGATACGTAAATAAGTAGATTTTTGGTGTGTTAAGTATTCTCAACAAAGGAGAATGGTATGGGTGTTGTTTTTATTAGTGTCTTAGTCTTTGCTAACATTTTGAATGAAAAAGACATATTTTGGTATGTTTTGAAGGGGAAAAACTGCTTGTGACTGATGGATCTTTTTATTTCTTTAGACTTATTTGCCTTTCCGCAATACTAACTGCAATTTTCTACGCTATCATTTCGCGTTTTGGGATTTTAGTTACTATTTTTTCATTGCCTTTAGTCTCGATAAAAATTCGTATACTGGCTCTGGTTCTAGCTGTAAACGCTACATTAGATATCAGTGGGCTTCAAGTTGTGAAAATGATGACGTAGTAGAAATTTCTTATTACCGAAGAAATTCAATATCCTCTGAAGCACCGACCGTTAATTCTTCTCTCGAAGGGCTAACTATTGATTTGTTTGGCGATAGTGATAAAAATCTTTTCGAAATAAGAACGTTTGTGGAAAAAACCAGACAAACCTTTTTTTTTTACGCTAAATGATGTCAAGTACGATACAATCGATCATTTTTCACACCACACAACCGAAAATAGGAGATCTGAGATACTGCTAGAAAGGCTTACTACTGTATACTGCCTGAAATGTGAAGTGAGGCTTTGTTTCCTACTAGAATGTATCGGTTATTATAATTATCATCATAAAAATAATAAAAATTTTACTAAACGTTACTTTTTAAACGGTTATTGTTTCGATTTAAACTATCTTTAAATCAACTTTGTTGAGCGGGCTCAACATATTTTCTGTAAGTCAATCTTTGTTAACCTGCTTTCTTAAGCATACTTAACATACATTTTACAGAAAAGTTTACAGCGCCGATTTTTTTTAAATATTTTTTCTATACCCTATATAGAGCCAAAAACATATATAATCATTCTTTTTTTTATTTTCTACACGTTTGAATATATAATCACTTAAATAATTGTTTTTTATTTTTTATTTTAATAACATTGCCAAAATAAGGGTTAAAAACACACATCAGAGATATTATCGGGTAAATAAAGAAACTCGTTTATGATTTTTTTTATTTCTTCATACTGGAAACAACATTTTTACATATTTTCTTATTTATCTTAGCTCATTTCATATTTAAAGATGTAAAAAATAAACAAGGAGTTCAGTTACATAAGTTACATTTAGAAATTCACAGCAAAATTAATTAAAAATTTAGTATTTGAGATCATATCTGGCATGAAAAAATATAACATATAATTTTGTAGATGTAAAATTAAATTTATTGTTACTATTTAAAGAACTAAATTCATAACTTTCTATGTGGGATTGTAAGAAGTTTTACAACTGTCACAAAAATAATCACGATAAATCGGTAAACATAGTTTTATTTAGTGATGGAATATAAACAATGTGTTTCCCTAACTGATTTATGAAAATAATATACGATTAGATGCTAATATATAGATTTCCATCAATAATGTTCTTTTTCCAATAAGTAAAGGACCAATACTTAACAAAACAAAACATATATCTCCACATATATCAGCGTGCTCATGTTGTGCTCATTTGATCATGATAGCCCTATTTGAACCTATATGAATAAAGCTATGTTAGTTTAATTTAAACTATATTTACACGTAATTTTCAGTTCCCCCGTTAATTCGTCAACGGTACGATATTATTAGGAACGTAATAGATATTCATAATTGCTTTTAAATTTTAGTTATAGATTTAATTATTTACGTACATGTATTGCAAGTGCCTCCTTCATTCACATTCCCCGTATTTTACTCGTGTGCTTCAGAGTGATTGCAGATAACATATAAAAGTATTTTCATAATTATCATTAAAATAATCTATGGTTGATGTAGGTATATCAAAACTGATTTTGATTTTTATTAGTTCTAACATGTAATAAAATATGGTACACTGCAACTCTGGTGGTTAGTTGTTTTAAACTAAAAAAATAAGAATCAATTAAACTCATATCTCGCAAAAATTCCAATTGTCTGTATTACAACTGTGTGTACTATAAAGTAAAAAAAAAAAACAAGCAAACAAACTAATGACAAATGACAAAAAAAAAACTGAAATTGTTTGTAGTCATATCACAAGCCAGTCCATGACAAGAGAAAGAAACTTTTCATGTCCTGGACTTCTTTTTATTGTCACAAATATGTCAAGGAATACAGTGACATAATTTTATATATTTTCAATTAAAAGAATTTCAATGTATTAATCATAACCTGAATTTAAAAAAGTGATTATGAAAAAGTTATAGATAAAGTAATTCATTGTACTGATATATAAGAAATGGCAAAAATATGTTATTATTATATAAAATTTACATATAATGGAAAGTAAGGAACATAGAAGCTGCACATGTTTACTAAAATCAAAATAAATGATAATAAGTACTAAAGAACAGTAAATCATATAAAAACATAAACTATTTTATGAAAATTATTGCCTTTGTTGTTAAGTTTTATTTCAGCCGTTATAAGTATTAACATTTTCGGCCACGGGATGGACTAGCAAGTATTAGTATGATGTAACTATATATTCAAACATATAAATAAGATAATCAGTATTTGCATAAATATGAAACATCCAAGAAGTATTTAATACTGGAGGGTTAACAACAGTTTACTTCCGTGTTAAATACAATGAGCTGCGAACAGTTAATACTATAATTACTTGATTTAAAAGAATAAACTAAATACGCAGGCGAACTTCTCGGTTTTATCTATTTTTATCCTTACTAATATTATAAACGCGAAAGTTTGTATGTACGGATGGATGTTTGTTACTGTTTCACACAAAAACTACAGAATAGATTTTAATGAAACTTTACAATAATATAGATTATACATCAGAACAACACATAGGCTATAATTTATAAAGATGTGTCAATTGTCCAAAATATAGGTAATGATAAGTGTCAACTAAGAAGGAAAAAGCCGCGCTTAACATCTAGTATGTAAATAAATAGAACAAGATTCATTTGCTTGTCATTCAATATCAGAACGAAAATATTTCTCAACATAATTATGAAATTTGATTACAAACATAATTGTCAGCGTTTGATAATTCTTTAACGTTTAATGAATGTAATATATATATATATATATATTACTACAAACTTGAGCATATTTATATAAGGGTGGTCTGTAAACGCAAAAAAGAAAGGAAATTCGACTGCGTATAAATATTATCGATTATTTAACGTGATGCTTAAAATAAGACTATTCGATGGCGCGTGACCATAGCGCGCCGGCTATGTGTCAGCTGATGTATGCACACAGGAGGGCCGTTACTGGTCGCGCGATCCCGGCGACACCGCCACGCTGCATCGCCAGAGGATTTTCGCCTGTAACGGTGAGAGGATTTGAATAATCCGACAATACACGAGATTGGGCTTATTGAATAATTGATGAATATCGATATATATGACTAGTGATTTCCGTGGAACGCTCGGAATATATTCGCGGTAGCCGAACTAGACTTTCTTGAACGTATAATATTCATGCGAATGAAATTCAAATTCATATTTTTGACTTGAAATAACGTAAGCGTCTTGACTTATATGAAATGTTTTCAATAAATTTAATTAACGATTTTCTTTACTTAATTACTGGGTAAATAAAAGCGTGAAAAACTTTAGAAACAATTTTGAATGATATACTTTTCCATGAAAATAAATATTCAACTCAGATAAGTTATGCACATTACTCACTAGATGCCATGCAATATATATGATACTTTCACTTAACGCCGATCTTCTGTGAGGCCGTGGAACTTCTAAAGACTTAACGTGAACATTTTTCTGAAGACCCATTGGTGTTCAGAACATTGTTCACGCAGCAGAAGCCGCTGAGTATTAACACAATCATCATCATCATCATCATCATCATCATTCATTTCAGCCTGTTTGAGTCCACTGTTGAACATAGGCCTCCCCCATAGACTGCCACGAAGTACGATCCTGAGCCACCTGCATCCATCGACTTCCCGCACATTTGCACAGGTCGTCACTCCATCTAGTGGGGGGTCGTCCTACACTGCGATGGCCAGTACGAGGCTGCCACTCGAGAACCTTTCTTCCCCAACGGTTATCGGGTCTACGAGCTATATGGCCGGCCCATCGCCACTTCAGCTTGCTAATCCTCTGAGCTATGTCGGTTACCTTGGTTCTACTGCGGATGTCTTTGTTACGAACTCTATCACGCAGAGAAATACCGAGCATAGCCCGCTCCATAGCTCGCTGAGCGACTTTGAGCTTCCTCATACGGCCAGTTAATTTATTTACACTTTATTATTAACGTTAATGTTATTAACGTTAAACACAGTATTTACAATTTATTTAATTAACACAATATTATTCGGTAAATATAATTATGTTCCCAAGGAATGTGGACGTCATTCTGGCAGCTGGTAGTAAAAATCCTAACCATATACATTGTTCACATGTTCACATAAGGGTGGAAGGGTGACAATTAATAAAAGATTTAAAACATCGGGCACTAGTTATCTCACTCCTCAGATGATACGCAGAAGTATTATACTTCCACTTCACGTCAGTCTTCTATATGGCCTTTTTTTATTTTTTTTATTATTGCAAGCGATCTGGCGGCTCCCCCGATGTTAAATGATAACTACTAACCAGATTTGCAACACCCGTAAGGCTACAAATGCATTGCCGCCTTTTTAAAAAATAGGCCCCGGCTACCTCACTGACCAGACGAAACACAGAAGTGTAACACTTCTACTTTACGCCGATCTTCTGTGAGGTCGTGTTACTTACCCGAACGGACCTGCCCATTCGTGCAACACTGAACACCGTTGCTTGTGCTAACTTTGAAATGACAATAAAATTAAAATTACCTCTCAATACATGCACAGATACGGCAGAGGCAGCAAAATCAGCCAAAGAGCATGTGTAGTTGCCAGAGTCTTTTCTGTTTGCGTTTGCTATGTAGAGCCGCGATAGAGCCCCATTCGAAGTTGTTTCAGTTTTCACACTGTGAAAAATACCTATTAACATAATTTGCTAACGACGTAAACAGAAACCGCTATTACTTCTCTTACACGACTATAGTTTACTATTACATAATATAAATCAAGTGTATAAAAGCAATCAAACAAGTGTAAAAAAAATAAAAAATAAAAAAATATTTGAAACGATTTGTTTTATTTAAACTCTCTACTTATTATTATGATATAGATCTATAATAGAAGTCCTTAAGTGAAAAATGATATTAGCCAACCAACACGCACCAACCGAACACGCACAGCACAGGCACACTTAGACGCATCAATTAAATCGTTGTAAACTACTCGTTGCAAATGAAATTCCATAGGTATTATTCATACAATGGCAATGTATTGTTGCAAATCTCATCTGTCACTTATGAAAAATAATCTGTTGGCACTGGTGCCACGTGGAACAGAAGCAATCAGCTAAAGCGACACCCGACAAAATGTAAAAAAAAGTAATTTTTTTAATAAAAAAAAATAATTTTTTTAATGTAATGTACACAAATTTATATGCATCGCGTGGGTGGGTATTACGCTAGAAGGAATAGCGGACTGACGGGAGCCTTTGTCTGATTTGGATTGGATGAGTTGATTTAGCTGGTCGCTACTGTATTTAATGACCCACAGTGTGTATATACTTCGTATAGCGATTGAACAACTGCCAACAATAACATCAATGCTCATAACTACGTATCCTCTGGTTTTCTGACCCGTGACCTTCTTTTTACAAATACCCGCGGTATTTTTATTAAGGGATGAATTAATGAAATAACCTTGTCACTCCAGTTCTTCCCTGACCCGAGGCAAATGCCCGATAAACGTTCACACTGGGGCATCCCCTTCATCGCTTTCGCTTACCCTCGTCAAGAATGGAATTTGATCTCTCCTTTGCGAAAGGAATTAATTAAATTAACAGTTTATTATGACTGTATTGGTTATACAGTAGTAGAACTTACAACGTGTCTTTTATCTGTAGACGCACTTTAGTGCACTTCATATGCTACAATGCTTGGTCAGGGTTTCAAACAAGACCTTATATATAAAAGTAAACGTTTACAATAAAGAAAATAAATAATGAATATACGCCCTAAAATACCACAACTCTGATTAAGTTCTCTACTTAGCATCAGGTGAGTTGGTAATGATGTTCAGTTTTAGGTTTAATGAAATGGAACACAGTAATTTTTGCAAGAAAAAAAGGGAAACTATACAAGTCACTGTTATTCAAAATGCTACCCCGAATACCAAGTCCAAGGCCAAGGAAATAATTCATGACTGAATCCAAACTTACGTTTAAATGTTATCATTTACTTAAGAGATTTACATGAAAATGAATGAGTTGGATTAAAGGTAAACATGGATCTAAATATAATTTACTTTGAAGTATTGTGGTACTTTGAAATTTACTAAATGTGGATGTTATTATTTAATAGGATTAAAATATTTTGAGTAAAGTCAGTGTTTTGCTGTAATCTCTATTATTTCAATACGAAACATGTAAAACAGTAACAGAAAGATACAAAAAATAAAAAGCTATGATTTTCTTTTCTGTATTCCTACAAAACAGGAAGAAAACTCTCCAAGGATTGTTTGAATGTATTTTTGACCATGCTCAAGAGAATAATTATTAAAAAAATCATCAGTAATAGTTGTTAAATACAATGCTCAGTGCGTTGCGTCAGATATGTCTAAATAATTGACTCGATATTTATTTCATCATACATTATTTCTACAGAAATACGGAGTGAAACAATTCTTCGCATATGGACAAACAACAGACGCATCGTGAAGTTATAAAGTAAGCACAATTTTTCTTGAATTTCCTTGAAAATTTGCATCAATCCCGATGGCGATTTCAATACCCTTTCAATACCAATACATATATATATATATATATATGTATTTTTTTTTTCAATACAATCCTATAAGGTATTGAAAGGGTACTGAAATCGCCAATTGGTATTGAAATTGATGCAAATAAGGAAACTACTAACAAAAATAATGAAAAAAAGTGGATTTTACATTAAATGTAAATGGCAAAGCTATAAAAGAAAATTATAAAGATGCAAATGAGTTTCTAAATGTCTTCACTTCAAATATACCTTTTGAAACTACTAGGCATTTGCAACACTGTCCCACATGGGCAGCAACATATCTGAATAAATATGTTAATATTTCCATTCCAGATTTTAAGTTTTGCCACATACTCGTAGGTCCGAATGATACTATTAAGACTTAAAAATTTAAATAACAAAAAAACTTAGATCTTATAACCTGAGATCTTGCTTCTTTATTAGCTCAAATTTTTAATTCATGTTTAGATTCTTGCAAATTTCCTAAATTAATGAAATATAGTAAAGTTGTGCCACTTTATAAATCAAGCTCAAGAGAAAATGCCTCTAATTACCGCCCCATTTCTATCTTACCAGCCTTAAGTAAAATATTTCAGAAAATAATGCTGGATCAGATGATATTTCATTTTAATAAATATGAAATTTTGATCCAGCATCAGTTCGGATTTACGAAAGGTAGATCTACAACTGATGCTGGAGTAGAATTATTTTCGCATATCCTACAGTCTTGGGAAACGTTCCATGACATGATTGGTGTGTTCTGTGACCTTTCCAAGGCATTTGACTGTGTAGATCATAAGATTCTTATTAAGAAATTGGAAAATTATGGTATTCGAAAATCTGCTATTGGTTTTTGTTCCTTATATCTTAGCGATAGGGAACAAAAAGTAACTATAAATGTAAAACTGTGTATTGTCATCGGGGTCTATAGTAAAAATGGGTATTCCTCAGGGATCGATCGGGTTCATTTCTGTTTTTAGTCTACATAAATGATTTGCCATGTGTTAGAAAAAAGGTCTCAAATCCTTTTGTTGACGATGATGATGAGTGGATGACACTTCACTGTTGTTTAAGGTTGATAAGAAAGATGTTACATTAGACCAACCAAATGAAATACTAAGTGTGGTTTCGACCTGGTTTGCGACCAATAATTTACTATTGAACGAAATTAACGAATTACATTAAAACTAAATGCATCTTTACTTTATCAAAGCTGTCTCACAAAACAAGCATCTGTATTGATGACAACATCCTACCTCTTGAGGATTCAACAGCATTCTTTCTAATATGCATTGACTCCAAGTTGCAACGGAGAGCTCATATAGAGAAATTAGTAAAGAAGCCCTACCGTCTTTGCCATACGCATAGCAGGCAACTAACAAACAATGCAACAGCTAAATTAATTTATTATGCTTATTTTTACAGTATTATGTCTTATGGTGTCTTACTTTAGGGTTCCGCATCCGATTTAGACACGATATTTGTATTGCAAAAGCAAACTATACGGGCTGTTTATGGCTTGGGCACGTGAATCCCTTCGGCATATTTTTAAACAAATAAACATAACGCTCCCGTCACTATATATACTTCAGACCATCATGTATGTAAAAAATAACATACACCTTTTTACAAAAAACATACCACATCGCGTCGGGGCCGTCGTGACACGCTGGAAATATCGAGGTTTAAACTAGCTATAAGCAGGAAATCGTTTCTTGGTAGATGTATTAACTTATATAATAGAATAGGTGACATCCACAAACAATTAAGGGTAAATAATTTCAAATATTTTGTATAAGCCACCTTAATAGAAAGGCCCTATTATAATGTCGAGGAATACATTTAGGATATGTGGAAATGACTCTTGCTCTGCACTATCAAGTCCCTTGGCTCCTGCTAAATTATACTAAAATACTTTTATGTATATACTTAAATAATTCATAAAAAAATGTATGCCCTCAGAGTTTCTTGCTTAAGTGAACAGGTGGTAGTTTTTGGGGTTTCGTAACTGAAAAGGTAAAAAGGAAGTGTGTATGTCCGTGCGTCACCATAACTTTTCTCCGGAACAGGTGGACCTAGCAATACCATAGTTGACATTTATACCAGGTACTGAGTCCTTATTAGTTGTATAAAAGTCAACACGATAAAAGTTATGGGTAAATTTAAATTTTCATGAAAACTTGCAAGTACTAAAATTTACCTTAATTTTCAACTTTTATTTAATTTTCCCTCTACTCATGCTGTAAGACCTTGCTTTTAAACAAAAGCGACAATTCTAGGTAAACTGAAAGTACCCTATTAGTTTTGGGTCGAAAACCTATAATTATGTAAGTTCGCGTTGATGTAGTTCTTGAGAAACCCAGTAGTGATTATTCACCAATTTTATCATGGCGGTATACTGATGTCCGAGTTCGAGTCACACTTGACCGGTTTTTCTACTAGTCACGCCATTAAAATAGACACACTAAAATGAACAATCTTAAACACACTTAATCTTTTCGGCCGTTATTTAACAATGGTCAATAATTAAACTGTTGTTTAATTTATAACTTGTACATTTCTAAAGAAAACCTTTTATCTTTAATTGGGAAAACAAAGTATTTTCTAATTACCCAAAGAGAATTGTTTACTTCCACTTTAAATATCCATGTTAAAACCCTTTAACGGATACTAAAAGAAGATTAAAACATTTAAGAGATTTAATGGGCTTCTTTCATTTTACTTAGAATTTTGTGAATTTTGTGAATGGTGATTTATTTAGTTATTAGCGGTATTAGGGAGTATGAATAATTTTTTATCTCGCATTTATTATAGTTTTTGTTTTAACTATGAGAATTCTAATGAGAATATTTTAAAAATAAGACTTCTAGACCGTGTAATATGTCCTCATTTCTTGCTTGGCAACTCTCAAATTTGTCAGCTTTTCTTCCAAAACACTAACACTGCATATCTGTACAGACAGCTAACTTGGAAGAGCTTTTGACATTCCAAGATAGTTTATTTTGATTACAATAATTTTGAATAATTTACGCTTTTATTAGTTCTAATCTTTATTCATAACGTACAAACAAAATTTTTGTTCTAAATCTTTGTAACATATTTCTGTGTAATAATATCAATTTCATATAGTTTTGAATATTATATAGAGATGATATTGTCCTAACTTTGCTTAAAGTATTTTGTCCTAAATTTATTAATGACAGTTAATGGTAAAATAGAGATATAGGCAGTCTCTCCCTCACAGACTTTCCGAAGTTTTACCAGTGGACTCGAAATGTACTGCCTCAGAGTAGTAACATGTAAGATGTAATATGTTATTCTTTTTTTTTGACACAATAATCTAGAGTAAACTAGGGAACAAAAAGCCTATAATTATAATAATAGTAAACATAATTTTATCCGTCAATGTTCAATTTTTAAAATAAGTAGTGCATTTTCATGAGTTATGTGCATTGCTAAGAACAAAATTTTAAATATACCTTGGGTTCCAATATACCTTGGTTGCCTGGATCCTACAAGCCTAAGTACACGTTAAACAAACATAAAAAATATTTAAAGGAAAGAGCAACGGGAAACATACAATTCTTAAGGTTTTTATGAAAAATAAAAAATAAATATAATCGAGTTTTATTTCACTACTGTTTTTTTTGTGTGCGTGTGCGTTTGTGCATCTTCGTGTTTTTTTTTTTCTTATGTGTGAAGATATCAAGAGAGCGGGCGTTTCACCTGTCGTTAAGTGCCAACCAACGCCCATGGACATTTGCAACGATAAAGTGGGCTCCGGCTACCTCACTCACCAGACGAAACGTAGAAGTATAAAACTTCCACATCATGCCGGTCGTCCGTGAGGTGGTCATTACCTGGATGGACCCGCTATTCGCGCAACTGCCGAAAATGTTGCGTGGATCACACTTAGCCTGAACTGCGAGCTATCGATTTGTTTCCCCATTTTGATAGATAGACGTGAAAGCTTAAAACGTTTTAACTCACCTTACACCACCACGTTTTGTGTCGTAATTCAACAATCTAGAGCCGTGCTTCCAGTTTACTTGGCGTGACGGCTGAGGCACCTCGCTTACGATGCAACGCAGCTCTATGATAGAACCTTCTTTGTAGAACTTGTCCTGAAGTGGTCTGCCACGCTCGTCGATTATCTCTACTTTTGGAACTGTTGAAAAAATTAATCCTTGATTATGTTTCAGATAAGATGAGGTTGGGGGGGGGGGAATGTTTTTTTTTAATGGGAAAAGTTGTCAAGCGAGTAGACGGTTCACCTGATGTTAAGTGAATACCGCCGCCCATGGTTATCTGTTACACCCGAGGGTTCCAGATGCGTTGACAACCTTTTGAACATTGGGCTCCGGCCACCTCACTCACCAGACGAAATGCGAAAGTATTATACTTTCACTTCACGCCGGTCTTCTGTGAGATCGCGGTACTTTCCCGGATAAGCCTGCCTATTCCTGCAACAGCCGAGGCTGCTGCGTGGCCCTACCAACGTGACTAAACAGAGGACAAAAATAGGTAGTTTTTTTTTGTACTTTCTAAAAAGCGGTTATTTAAATATTACAAACAGACACTCCAATTTTATTTATCTGTATAGATAGCATACCCAGCCACGGAGACAACACAAAATTAGAAAATTGTACTTTTCCGTTTCCATCGGAGTCGATTATTCTTTTACAACAGGTTGCAAGTTGAATAAGTAGTCTGGGAAACGCGAATGTATGTAAATATATATATATATTATAATGCTTCTTCCATTAGCTTAGGACTTTCATGAGCCAAATACCAATACTGTACATTAACTCTGTATTTGACGTACAAACTTTTTATATGACTTCTCCGTCCGTGTAAGTTATAAATTAGCAATCAGAATATTTTGAAGAGAACATTTGCCAGCTAACGTACAAGTTATATAGTTAAGTTCGGTTTATTCGTTAAAACTTTGGTTGAGACTAAATTTAAACTATACAAACAGCAGTTTTCATGCTTTAGGAAGATCTACCAGTCAAGAAGTTTCATAGCAATCGTGTTGAGTTGACACTCAACCTTTTTTATAGCCTTAATTATAAGAGCTGTACCAACTTAGTCGTTGTCTTTTAATCAAATATACTCGAGCCGAGAAAAATGGTACCCAAACCAAAACAAATATTGATTACCTTCTTCAGACATTAGCAAGGACATTTGAATAATATGTATTTTGGTTAGATATTTTTGTAGTTTCAGTAAACAGGATAAAAAAAAGAGAGAGAAATTTGTACTACTGCTAACTACTATACGTATTACATGATACAATATTGACACAATGTGTGAATTGTAGCACATAATTCTGACTGTAAATTTTTAAACATTTGTATAAAAAATTCTAATAAATAGTCATTTTTATTTAAGTCATTGTGATAAAATTCTTTAAAAAAAAAACTGTGGTAAACCCAAGGTTAACTGTCAGTATGGCCTTAATAGCTTACGTACATACGTATTACCTACATCAAAGCCATAAAAAGGATATTGTCGCTCTCTATAAAAGTGCGTATATTAGATAGCTTGCGCTGCTTTGCTCGTAAAACTAACGTCTGGATATAATTGCTTGTTAGTCGTGCTTGCAAAATAACCCCGTCCTCTGAATTTGCTATTTGAAAATGTTAATATTTATTTCAAAATATAGAATAGAGGAAAATGCCCAATTTGCCTATATAATCCTATCTCATTCCTAAACTTAAACTTATAACTTATTTACATTAATTACAATTGTTCCGTTATTATACTCCAATGTCTAAAAATCATTGAAAAATCAATAGTTGTATGAAACTGTTTAAGCCCTTTGCAAGCAAAATTTAGCTTACTTTAACTGATGTTTTTTTCTCTCAGATCTAGATCTTAAAAAGATTCATCGAACGCAGAACTCTTAGACTCACGAACTTGATATGGCCCTGCGTGTTGCCATATCAAGTTCGTGTCATATCAAGTCCCTGCGGTAGGTGGAACATTTACTCATCCTTGCGTAATCTTGAATTGGAACTAAGTCGCATACCGGCTTTCGAGGTTCAGTACAGACTGTGTCTACTATGGCCGTTGAATGTCCTAATCGTCTATGGCCATCACCCCGACGTTTGAATGTTTAAAAAAAATAATATTTTTGGATTCGATTCGAATTTGGTCCCTAAACGTAATTTAAATACACACTTAGTGCTTAATAACCCCTTCTTCGCGCTTTTTCGTGACGGAAAGCAAATTTACTGAAGCACTTATCGGATTTATCGAGCTTTTAAATTGAACTCATTAAAGCTTTCCATGTATCCAATGTACTATAAATTAATACTTATCAACATTGTCAAACTTAAAGTCAAATGCTGGCATTTTTTTGCGCTTATATGTTGGTAACGTCATATATTTTGTAAACTCAAACTCAACGAAGCTTAATTTAATCAGTGTGTATTTATGTCCTGTAAAATATCTGCTGACGTAAAATTGAAATAGACTTAAAACAACTCGTGAAAACTCCTTTATCGGTCATAACTTTAACTGAACAGTTTAAGTTTTTTACTGTTCATTTTATGATTTTGTATGATCATCCCAGAATGTTCGTGCCGCACTGTATAATTTTCATTTGTCTACAAACTCAGAACTTTTTAGTTTTTAAAGTTTTTAACTTAGTCTTTTATTCCCATTTAAAAATTAAACTATCGCATGACTTGGTTATCAATAAATTCAAATGAGAAAACTTGTGGGTTATGACAAAATTTATATTTCACCAGTTTAGATGTGTTTTAATCTCTGTTGGCCAAATGTGGATCCAGGAAGAAAAGAGATCAAACATTTTTTTTTCTGTTGGTATCATACTATCCGCTGTAATGAGAATGTGAACATGGAACTAAATTTCATTCCTCGTTTGAAACAGAAAGGCGGAAGTGATGACTCCGTAGCGCAGTTGCCAAGGCATTAGCTTCAGCGTCGGGGGTCGTGGGTTCGATTGCCACACAGGACAACTATTTGTGAGACCCACAGTTGTTTCGCATCTGGATGTTCGTCCACGTGCAATTTCTGTTTGAATCGTCCTTACAACACAGGATAATGTTATCCTAAAATAAGTGCAATTTTTTTTAAAAGAAAGCAAAAAAAGAGCACGAGCTACGCATCGACGTCGATGCGTAGCTCGACCACGTTATTCTTCGTTTACCGTCGTGAATGGGCTGGCCCAAACTGGGATGTATTACGGTCTCACGGAAAATCCGCGTAATGTTAAAGTATTCATATCAACCACTGTGCGTTTTACACATTATTTTCTGCTCCACACAACTACGTTGTGGAATCAGTTTTCACCAGCGGTATTTCCAGATGATGTACGAAGCTGGCGCGAAGCCTGCTTTTTAACGAGTATCGGGGCAACCCCCATGCCTCGGACATAATTTCGACCAGCAAAGGCTGGTCGGTGGTAAGGATGGCCACGGCCATCCCTAACTCTGACCGCGGTAGCGGCACTGGCAGGTGTACAGCGTTACACGCGGTTTGTAACGCGTGGACGACATCGTCTTAGCGGCGGAAGTGCGGTCGGGTCCGGCTCCCCAATAGCCTCCGACCGCAGTAGCTCTCGTGGGAGCGGGCGCCCGTCAGTAGGACTGGCGTGCAGGGGTACGATGTTATGGAGGTGTGGGTGTGGTCCGTTGTCGGCCCGGTCGTACATGCGACGGGCCAACCGGACCACAAACTCCTTGATGGATTCCATTTTTAAATCACGGCCGATTACGTCATTCCTGACGTAATCGCCCGGCCCCCACGTTCACTCGAAGGGCGAGGTTCTGCTGCGCCTGAAGCCTGCGCCTCTGCGAGGCGGAAACCAGACCGTACCACGCCGGAGCGGCGTAGGTCAGGTGCGAACGGACGTTTGTCTTGTAGACGCCGAGTTTGGTCTTGATGGATAACCTGGATGCCAGGATAGGGTACAGCATGGCTCGAGCTGCCCTGGCTTGTCGGACGGCGTGTCCGACCTGGGGAGCCATGCACAGCGAGCGGTCTATCCGGCATCCAAGGTACCTTATGACGTTCTGGTTGGTTATCGCCTGACCTCGCAGCTCAAGCGTGGGTTGGTTTTTGATGCGGCGGATATATATGTCAGACGTCTTGTCGACAGTGACAGACATCCGCCACTTATCCAGCCACTCGGGCAGCAGGTCCAGTTGGCGCTGCATTTTCCTCGCCGCAATCGCCGCGACGTATATTTCCAGACCGAAACGACTTGAGGGCCTTCAAGAAAAGATTACTATCTGGAAAGCAGAACACACTCCATCAGGTGGCCTGCCTGTTCGTTTGCCTCCTTTTTTTTAAAATTAAATTTAAATGTGCTACAAAAAATTCCTTATATAAAACGTCTAATTAGCAGAAGAAATAAAAATTTACCAACGGGCGAATTCGTAATTCGTTGTAACAACACTTTAGAGTAATTAAGTAGACATTAATTAACAGAAGCGAGAAGGAATCGGTATTGTTTTTTCGACTTAAAGAAATGTATTTTAAGAATGCTTGAAATAAATTGGTAGTTAAATTCGTTTTTCCAAGATCTGTCGGATCAGTGAAATACATGAAAAATAAATTTCAAAGTTTTGGCTACAGAAGAGAGAAGTGTGTGTGAGGGAGATATTAAAACTAATAGACTTTAACTGCACAGCTCGTCTTCGACTGATCATATATTCATAAAATAATACTTTTGATTATTTTTTGTTTGAGATTGCGTTATTTTATTTTTATGGCAATTTATTTTATATGCCACCCTAAAAAATTTATCTAAAGAAAGAAAATTATCAAAGATTTTTACCACCGACAAAAAAAGGTTAATGAATATTATTTAAAAGTCCGAAAGCACGGTGGTAGGGCCACGCAGCAGCCTCGGTTGTTGCACGAATGGGCAGGCTCGTCCGGGTAATTACCACGACCTTACAGAAGACCGGTATAAAGTGGAAGTATAATACTTTCGAGTTTCGTCTAGTGAGTGAAGTAGCCGGAGCCCATTTTCAACCCTCGGGTGTAGCAGATGTCCATGGTCGGTGGTATTCACTTAACATCAGGTGAACCACCTGCTCGCTTGGCAACTATTCATATAAAAAAAAGTCAAATTTTAATATTATGTTGCATAATTCATATTGTATTTGGAGCAAGAAATTGTTTTCTTGT